GCCTGGCACACACGATGAATGAAGCTGTGTGTCAACAGCGTGAGCCTGGAAGATCATGAAGCTTCAATTAAAAGAGTTTATTTGCAGCGTACAAACATGCAAGGACAAATTTTTAAGTAGTAATAAACTAAAGGGGCAATTAGTCTCACCCAGAAATAAATCTCATGACTAGATGACACAGCAGCAGATAGGTAGAGTGTGTGGTGATGGAGGTGTATCTGCAAGAGAGCTGCACATCAGATCACCTCATTCAATTTACTCAGACTGGATGTGTCAAGACATCTGGTGATGTTGGACAGTGACAGCTCAGAGCTGGTTCCTCTGCCTATGTCATTGCTGTGGGGCAGATATGTCCGATGACATCTTTGTGCTGGTCATAGCACGTACAGCTTAGCTGAACCTATCTGTGAGCTCCATAGAGTATCCCGTGATTGCGCCGTTCAGCAGGCTGCAATAGGAGACCTCCAGCAGCATCTCACACCTCCTTCCCTGCCTGTGCATCTCAGCTCCCTCCCAAAGAAACCAGGAAAATATAGAACACGGAGCCAGGCTGCGGCCAGCCACTCACCAGACCCACAGGTACAGCCCCTGCGTATCTCAGGGTGTCTGTCTGAGTTTGGGACAGTATTTTCCTGCTCACTGCACTTCTGCAGGGAATCCTTTGTGTCTGGCTGAAAAGCGCTTGGAGGACAAGTCCTCTGAAGGTGCAAAACAAAACTTGTCGATGCTGAGCCTGGTTAACATCCCAGGATGTAAAGGGACAGGTATGCACTTGAAGTCTCCTGTGCGCAGTTAAATTGCTCTGTGCTTTGGGGGCCGAGAAACTGGGCTGGCTCTCTCCTGAGAAGTGTTTCACATTAGTGCCCCGTAACGGCTCCGGCAATAAAAGTAGGTATTTGCATTAGACTGAGGCCATGGGTATACGAATGGGTTAACCCACAGCAGCTCAAGTTGTTCCAATTTCCAGAAAGCTGTGAATATATGATTCAATTGTAAGGAGGCATTAAGCCACCCAGCAACAAGAGATTTACTCCTGGCTTGGTTGTGGGCTGTTTTCTCACATGATGAAACACCTAACCTTTTGGTACGCAGCTTGCTCCCTTCTCACAGCTCTCAGTGAAAAGTCTACTTATTGGGCTGCTCCTGCTGCCATGCACTTTGCTCCAAAGTTCTACCTCAAGTTCAGTGTCTCCCTGTGTGTGGCCAGAACCTTTGGTGTGTATTGTGCACATAAAGGTAAAAAGCCACCCACCTAGCTGAAAAGCAAATGTCAAGTGGTGTTACATATTCATTGCAAAACATAAGACAGAGTCATGTTGCCTGACATCTGCCTCTGAAGTAAGTCTGTATGGTGTAGTCTTTCTTCTCCTCTCTCCTTACACTGAAGGAAGAGGTATGGTTTGCTCTTTGCATGTATATAGGGACAGATGGATGCAAGTGGGCTCTCACATCATGTTTGGTCAAGGCCTTCCTTCTCTTAATGGCCTAGAAGGACAGGGAAGGAAAACAACCTGATAGTCATTCACTTACTCTAGGACACCCCTATGTTCTGTGGACCAAATTTGTCCCTTCTTGCCTTAGTTTCCCCACTCCCCACAAGCCTTACAGCGTTGGGAAGGAAGGGTTAAGCCACCACAGCTGCATGCTAGTGGCAGCCTTTCCCCACATCCCTTAGCGTGGGTTCTCCCTGCTGTGGCTCCCACCCCTGCCCAGCCCTGCTTCTTCCCAGTGCCTTGCAGGGATCGGCTAATAGCAGTGTGAAAGTTCCTGGTCCAAACCCAAGCACTTGTTCCCAGGTAATTATTTAGCACCATATCAGCACTTTGCAGCCCTGATTTTCCTGACTGAGAGACAACTAATTAAAAGAACAGGCACAGCACAGATTTACTGCCAAAGGGGTAAAACTTAATAAACAGCAATGACATGTTGGTTTATTAGTATCCCCCTCTGCTACGTTTCACTTTTCTTCTCTGAAATGAGATGGGATGGGCAAGAAAGTTTGAAAGCACCAGAAGGGGAAAGCATTAACACTGGAGACAAGGAAGCCATTAAAAGCAGGTGGGATACTTGCTCTGTAGAGGTAGCTATGTTGAACCAGGGAGGTGCAGTAGCATCCTACTCATGTGCTCTTGAAGATGCTCAGCTGTAGCCCAGAGGCAGTGGTATCAGGCAGATGTAGGTATTCCCTTTCCCACTTCTTTTTTGCATCCTTCGTCCACCCCTTCCAGGAAAAAGCTGGTTTTTATCCCTAGAGCCAGCACAGAATACAAATAGATGGAAATTGCCAAGAGATGTTGGTCCATGGGGTGAGCCCTTGCCATGCTGCGGGCTGGCTGAAGCCAGTGCCCCATTTGGCTGGCTCCAAGTGCAAGCTAGCTGGGGCAGGCAGGGGAGAGATCTTTTCCCACACAGGGTGCTGCCCTGAATTTTTTTCCCCTTCCCTCATCCCAGCTGTCATCACCTTCCTCTGCAAAAGATGAACATCTCGTTGTAAGCAGGATTTTTCCCCCTCCCCCACGAGCAAGCAGGATTCCTGGGTCTTTTCCAAAGGCTCCTGTGCCACATCTGTTCCCTTGGAGGATATTCATCCTTGGGACAGAGTCCCACTGCTGCCGGATCACCTACTGAAAGCTGGGATTCCTGATCTCTTCAGGAGGCTGAAGGCTCCTTTCTGAAGGGTCATAATCCCCACATTTGGGGAGCCAGGGTTGTCCCTGCCCACCTAAACCCATCTGTTTGAGTCATGGTTTCTGTGGAAGTGTGTGAAGTGTTGAGAGGTCTCAGAGGAGGAGTGGATGGCTAGTTCAGAGTCCCAAGATGATCTTACAGAGTCATTTGAAAGGCAAATTATCAGTGTGAGAGGGATCTTAGTTCATCTCTTGTGTCTTCATGCTTGTGGAGTCAAGTTAGAGAGGGAACAGGAATACTGGTGTCCAAGGTGGCAGCCATCTCAGAGACTTTCGACCAACCTTCACCCCAAGTGATCTATGCCAGGACTTCCCTAGCCCCACATGTCATGGGTACATGGTTATGCTTGGCATGTCTTTCTGACCTGGAAGATATATGAGTATTTAAGGTAGAACTACTTCTATTGGAGAAAACTGTTTTGAACATTTCCTTGTCTTTAGTGTTGATGCCCTCCTTTTCGGGTGGGATACTGCTTTCAGGCTTTGTTGCCCATCCCATCATATAGAAAATTACTCTTGAAAGGGAGTAAAAGAGAAATATAAAAGTCTTGGTCTCCTGGAGGAGAAAAGACTGCAAGTACTGAATGTAGGCAGGTCATTCCTCCAGCTGTACAGTAGGTTCCTTTTGCAGGTGTGTTTGTGAGGACATGCAGCATATGTACAGAGCTAACACCGAAAGAGATGGAGACTACCTAACACCTTTTACACAAGTCACACAGCTTAACAGTTACATGCGCAGAGCACTGCAGAGAAGCTGGCTTTTTCCATAGAGCTTTAGTGAGAGAGGGATTAGGAGATCATTTTGCTCCTAACAAAGTTGCCCAACACCTGCAATGCTATCAGAAAGATGCAACAGGAACAAGCTTCTCATGTGGAGGAAGGAAGACACATACCATAAATATAATCCAGGGAATAGCCCCAGGTAGAGAAGCATAGCTGTTTAGAGAAGGAAGCCAGCTGGATCTTACTATATGGATCACAAGATAGAGGTAAGAGGGTCCTAAATAAAACACCTGGGAGAAGATATGTTATATGAGGATGGCAAGTTGGTTGCTGCTGTTTCTGTTTCACTGCTGGAGCATATTTGGACTACTGAGGTTCAAAGAGATGTTCTCTTCTGTTTTTCGTTAGAGGAGCTGTTACTGATTGTAGAGTTTGTAGCAGGAGTCTTCTTTTTCAGGTTGAGCTTTTAGTGAAGCAGTTGGGCTTTGGGTTGCAGTACAGTGTAATCTTTCAGACAAAGCAGTCTCCCTTATTTTACAGACTCTGATTAGAATATCTTCCCTTTTCCTCTGGTACTGTAAAGGCAAATTATTAAGTCACTCAACACCAAAAATGTGTTAACTTGATCTCTATACTGGAAAGTTAGTGGGGGATGGCAGAGAGGAAATAGTCACTGCTAAACCAGGGTGTTAATGATAAATGTGTCATCTACACATACAGACTACACTTATGGTCGTCTCCAGCTGGCTAATAATAAACAAATCTCCATTAGAGTTTGAGGCAAGCCAAGTATGGACACTATTCAGCTTGTATTATGCAGGGGATCAGAGCAGGTTACAACAGCTTATAGCAATGCTCCTCTCCAGTCTTGAAATCTGGTCTTACAGTTGTTAATCACTCTGTGGTCTTGACCAAAATTAAAAATCACTGTGTTATTTTCAAGCTGTCCAAGAAAGAGAGTAAAGGAATGTAAAAATTGAGATAAACTGAGCAAAACAGTTGAGATAGCACCTTTAATGTGCTTGTACTCAGAGTCACCAGTTAAGAGATGTAGACAAATAGAAGAAAGTCTGAAACAATAGAAATCATAGAACAGTTAGGGTTGGAAAGGACCTTAAGATCATCTACTTCCAACCCCCCTGCCATGGGCAGGGACACCTCACACTAAACCTAAGTTTAGTAGGCCACCTAAGGCTTCGTCCATCCTGGCCTTGAATCATCCAACCTGGCCTTGAAATCCAAGTCATATGGCCATAGAAATCCAAGTGTTCTCTTGGATATTTTTTCAAGGATACCAGATTTCTAAGAACGAGGCAGAAAACCTCCAAAGAAACCACTCTGGCTGCACTAATGAAGTGCTTAAAACAAAGTAATTAAAATCCCCAGGTTATTGCTAAGACAGGTGGAAGAGTTAAAAATTAACACCAAATGTGCCCAGCATGGCTGGTCTAGGGTTTCTCGAACACTAATACTTGCCTGTTGGCTTTTCTCACTGGACCATAACCTGCTCCTTGAGTTGTTCTGTGCAGCATGTTAATGTTTTTCTGAGGAGGGACAGGAATGTGACCACCACTTCTTTACAACTTGCAGGGAAGTCCTATCCTGGACAGAAAGTGATCTCTTTCTCTCCTCAGCAGCTGGAGGACTTTGTACACTATCTGAGAAGAGGTAAGCACTCGTGTTTGGTCCTGTTGTTTGGTATTTCAGGTGGTGACTTGTGTAGGCCAAAGACTGACCAAACAGGGTGATGATGCTACCGCACAATACGGACTTGTGAGCAATGTGGGGTTCAGAAACACACATTCCCATGTGTATTCATAAAGGCCTTGCTTGCCGTGTAATACAGCAGCTTTTCAGGGAAGATAGTTTAAGTGGTTCTCTTTTGCCAGCTCCCAAGTGCTTGAGTTATCAGATAATAACTTGCACGTACAATAAAAAACACAAATAGAAGAAATCTAAAGTCAAGTGGAGGCCAAGAAAAAGAAGCCATGAACTTGTACCACCTGTTCCTGGGAATGGGGAATGCTGGGGACAGGTACAAAACCATCTACACGTCTCCTAGTTTGTAATCTTTTGCAGACTTCAGTATGTATAGACCAGAAGATGGAAATCAGTTTTGCTTCAGTGGGCAGTGCTTACTGCTTGTGCAGGACGGATTATTCTGAAAGGAGAAGTCTGACCAAGTCGATGCAATTATTTCCCTATACTTAATTTTTTCCTTTCAATAATGTTACTTTCGGGTAGTGGGATTGTTGGGTTACGCTCAGGTGCAATTCGCTGCAGTTCAGGGACCGTGTTGCTTAAACTTTTAACAAATATTACCACCTGCTGGGCACTCTGCAGCAGTGCAGCGTCTGACCGTTTATTCCCACAAGGAATGGGGCTCTCCCTACACAAGCAAGGCATTCGCTCTTCTGGCTTGGAGACTTTTCTGACTTTCTACCAAAGAAGACAGATCCGTTGGCTTGATCAGTCCAGCAGGAGCTGAAGATTGGTGTCTTCGGGTGAACTTACTACTGAGGGATGTTGGTTTGTGTTTTGGTTTGGTTTTTTATGCTTAGAAACCCTGCCTGTGGATTTACACAAAGGGGTTCTATTACTTCTTGATACATTTTGCTACTTAAAAAACGTAGGCAATATGTAGGGCCCAGGGTGTTGAGCCAACAGCTAATCCTACAGGTTACCTTGATCATACACCCTGAGTAGGGAGAGCTGTTACCTTGCCTCTGCCGGAGCTGGGATGCAATGGGAGAAATAAGCTTCTGCCATGGGACACCTACTATCAGTTCAGCCAGTGCCACAAGTGGTCAAGGTTAGCCACTGGTCAGTGGTGGTTAAAAACACACTGAAAAATCAGTTCTTGTCATTCTCCTCTCTCACCTAGGCTAGAATTGGGGAAATATTGTACTTTTCAGGCTGGTTTAGCAACTAGGGCTGCAAGAGTGGGATGCAGAGATTAAGTATTCCTTTATAAATCTCCGAGAGGTTCTCAGTCCACTTGTGGACATCTGGTTTCTCAGTCACTGGTTGGTGAGCAAGCAGGATATTGGCACTTAAAGCATTCCTTCCACAAAGCAGAGCTGGTTAGTACCCATGGCTCTGCAGCCATTTCCAGTTTATAAATAATTCTTTATACTGTGGTTGACTTCTCCAGCTTCTTTGTGTTGCAGCTACTTCTGGACTGGTCTAGGGCCAAGCCAAAAGGGCTGTGGGAGGAACAGCTGTCCTCCCTCTTGGACTAAAGGAAGCTGCTGAAAGCTCTTTTGTTTAGTAATATTCACAATAATAGAGTTTGGTGCTTGAAAGATGGACCTATAAGACCTGGCTGATCAAGTGAGGCTTTGCTGGGACTCCTAGGGCAAGTGGATGCTAGAATGCTCTGCGATATCTATTTTTGAGGCAATAGCAGCAGCAGCCTACAGATAAGAGAGGATAAGGAAGGCAAAGCAAGGCAAGAGCTTCAGGGCAAGGGTCTGACTGTGTTTACGGGGGGGGGTATTTCATTCGATTCTTGATTTGTCAGACATCAGGCATTCACACTTGGTTGTAACAGCTTCTGCTTGCAAGGAAGTGTTTTGAGTTTAGGCTGACTTCTGGCTCCAGCACTGAGGGCAGCACGGAACTAGTCAGGACTCCAGCAGGCCTTGCAGCCCCTTACCTCTGTGTTGCTCCAGGTGCTTGGTTTCTGCTTTCCCTCAGTGTGCTCTTCTTTGTGCAGTGATTTTGTGTGACTGCATTGCCTGAGGTGACTGATGTTTACCAGCAGCTACAGCCCAGCAATGGTACAGACACAGTGTTCTGCATGAGCATCTGTCTTTTGAGGAATAGTGCTTCTGGCAGGAGTATATCAAGCCCATTTCATGGGTATTAAATGTTTTCCTCTTTCCCATCAATATATATATATATTCTTAGCTATTTTTGAAAGGTACGTAGGAGGCTTTCCTGGTTTCCTGAGGATACCAGCTGAAAGCAAGTGTTAGAGCACTTAAGAGCCTCATTTTCCACAGTTGTACAAAGCCTCACAGGACTACTCAAACTTGTGAGCTCCTCATGTTTAGGAACACCAGAAACAGGTCCTGGCGCAAACCACTAGTCCATAGAGCAATAGCATATGTTTTTTCCTCCTTATCCTCATAAAGATTGTCTTACCTGACCTGAAGAGCCCAGATCAAGTGGCCACCCCACCATGCAGGGCTCCCTCCCACTGTGCCCACCCAGGATCAGGTTGATTATGCTTGGCAACCTCAATGGCTATAAACCCTCTCCAGGAGTAGAAGAGGTGTGATGGGCAGTAAAGCTGCCAAATTTGGGGGTTGACATCTGGGAGCCTTGAGGAGCTGTTTCATTTACGTGGTTTGGATCCGAGTAAGTGAATTTTGACTATTTCCATTGTGCTGGGGGCAGTGTCCCCTGTGAACGAGCCAGATGGTGTGAGTGCATTTTCCCTCTTGTGCCTATGCCTAGCAGTGGTCCTCTGCCCTTGCCCTTGGCAGCCTGGAGCAGTCCTCCTGGCCTGGTGGAACAATCCTGCTTCCCAATGCCCTCCTGTGCTCCTTGTCACCAAACTATAAGCTATTTTTCTACCTCTAGAGGACACTGTGGCCTTCCATATGCTCACTCCTCTGCAGTGCTCTGGAAGCAGCAGAGATGGCACAAGCCCTTGGTGGTCCCATCATACCTAGATTGGGGAAGGGGATGGTGGTAGTGCAGGCTTGAGTGGCTCTGCCACCAGCTTCTGAGTGTGAGGGACACTTGTCCCTCTTCATGTAAACCCATGAGGCTGGGCTGCCTAGGATGAAGCAGGGGCTCAGAAGTGCTTTTTAGGTGTGGAGGGACATTTTCTTGTTCTCAGCACACATCTGTCCAGAGATCCTCTATATTTTGCCTTTTCAGTCCACTGCAGGGATTTTCTTCCTTCTGGGTCTTCCATTTTCATCCCACGGCTGTTCCCCTCACCAATGGTAGAAGGCAGACAGGGAGCTATCAGGCTGAACACAAGCCCAAGGAGGTCTTCTTGTACTGTAAGGCTGCTTTCTCATCTGTTCACAAGCCTTGATGACTTAGATGGGCTTGGTTTTATCCACTCCACACCAGCTCATTCTGGTATTTTGCATTACAATAGACAAACAGAGTTATGGAGTACATAAGCAGAATGAATTTTAAAATGTGATAGTGGTTGGTCGGGAGTAGGAATATTACCTGGGAGTAGATAGTTAAGTGTGTGGTCATAAAGCAGCAATGATGCTGGGGATGATGCAATATGGCTCCATACTTCTTGTGCTATAGGTGTCCTGGAGGCACATTGCTCCTCCTTGAAGTCCTTCCAGATTTCACGCAATACCTTGTTTAAGGCTGACCACCCAGAAGCACACATCAGAAGAGCCAAATCATGATTTTTCTATGCCAGGCAGGCAACTGGGGAGGTCACAATGGTAGCAACCACCAGAAGCAGCTTTGAACATGAAGGTAGACCCTTCTCAGCATGTGCATAAATACTATTAGATGCTCAGTATTGTCAAGGCTTTTTTTAAGTCTTCTGGTGCTCCTTGAGGTGAAGAAATATCCTGACTTTGAGAATCTGAAGGTCGGCAAAGCTAACAGTAGAATAAGGTTATTTAATCGAATAAAAATGTAGGCCAATCTGGAGGAGGAAGATTTCTCTTCCATGCCAAAATTTGGCCATAGTTTATGCATCCATGGATGAAAAGGACCTGAGTTCTTCTCACAGATTCTGTCCTTTCCATGAAGTGCATCTCCAGCTTTAAGTCAAATCTGAACTATCTCAGGGTCTTGCCCAGAGTGTCACAGTGAGATCACAAATCCATTGGAACTTGCCGCTGAAATCGAAGCCAGGCAAGAGATACCAAAGGATGAATCAAGATAGGACCCCAGTTTGCTACTGAATTTTGGGTTCTGTATATTGCTGGTGACAGACTGTGGGCTGCAGAGTATGAAAGCAGATGGGGGGGGTCACAGGTGTGCAAGGGAAATGAGCTTTTTACATGCAGATAAGGATGACAATTTTCCTCAGATTATCTAGCTTGGAATTTTGAGGGAAGGGAGAGCGGGATGTGGAAAGCAATGGTTTCCTGTGCATAGCAGCTTTTTCTAATTGCCAAAGTTGGTACCATCCTTGTATTCCAAGCATTTTGTGAGGAGCAGCAGTGTAAAAACTGTGCAAGTGGCAAACCTGAGCACAAGGTAACGGTGGTGAAGGCAGAAACTTGTTGTATTGCTCCTGCTTTGACACCACAGAAACCACTTGCAGAAGTCCTATGAAGCAGGAAGAGATGGGATCAGTTTCCTACCAAATGCAGGCACTCGGTTGCATTAATGTGCCATCATAGGTATATCCAGTTTCCCAGTGCTGCTTTGCTGTCCTGTGCCCATGATCCATCTCCCCTCTGCCAGGGAGGTGGACGTGGTGTGCGGTGCGTAACGCAGGCACTGACCTTTCCCACAAACGCCTTTCTCTGCAGCTCTCGGGACATCTGCTGGCCCTGGAGAGTCTTGAAACAATGCAGGTTTCCTGGCCCTCTATGTGGTTTTTCCTCTTATAGGAAAATAGATGCTAGAATATCTGCACTGTTTAGTGGTTGCTTTGTCCTGGTGTTGGCACGTGTGCAGTCTGTCTGCAAGGGAGCCTGTAATGGTGGAAAGCCATCAGT